GCTAACTTTTGACTTGGAATGAAAAACGAAAAAACGAAAAAACGAGGTATCTGAAAAGTTCACGTTTTCATGTGTTAACTGCGATAAACAAAAGGTTTCTACTGTTACCGCAGAGAGAACTTCCTGCAAATTATAAAAGTTCTGATTGGGAATTTTAGCACGAATCATAACATTAAAGTACAAAACTTACGACTCTTTTGCGACTTCGTGTTTGGAACTTAATAAAATAATAGTTTCTGTTGTTTGCGTTGTAATTTTATCTAATCGCACAGCTAAAATAACAAAAATGTTGTAATGGAATATGTGAGCGATATTGTATTTCGGTAAATTGGATTTTCATGTGAATTTTAATTTCCATGGAAAATTGAAAAGTCATCAAAAAATGTATGGAGGTTACCACGTTTAAGTAAGCTCAGAACGTGGCTAGGAAGACATACTATAACAATCAAATTATAGGACTTTTAAAAAAGGCTTAGCCCAATTTACGTTCCTTCCTATATAAATATTAAATCTATCAAATAGATCAAGTAAAATGTATTTAACATTTGATATATATTTACTTTTAAAATCAATGTTTTAGGTGATCCGGTGCGCTGATCATGATTTAAAGGAACAGTGGAACGTGAACTAAATGTTGCGAACTATTCGATTTAAATTGATAACCGAGACTCTAGAACGCATAAATGCGGAAAGAATTACATGCACACCACTAAACTATTTTTAAATTATGGATCAAAACTCAGATGAAATAAATTCTAATGATGGTATACAAAATTGTAGAGATTCCCTTCCAATACATGTTGCATCTGCTTATTTGTGAGTTTGAATCTTATGCAAGGGAAACATTTGATTGACATACAGGCAGGAACCATTATCTTTCCATGGAATGTGCGAACTTTACCTATATGCAGCTAGCAAGTCGAATAACAAAAATATTTTTTATGTATTTAATTTTTCCAGGCTTCAGACCAATTTTTTAATAATTATATTTTTATATAAGAACTTATTTTATATAAAAAACAAATTTAAGATTAAATATCACAGTTAACTTTTATATATGTTTATACATTGTGACCGAAAGGTTTTCGGAGGTTCTCATTTAAAATTCCGAGCTGTATATTTCTTCGATATTATTAAGTTTATGTAGTTTGGGCAGCATCCTCTAATTACTATGCAAAATGAGCGGATCTGTCAGCAGTTCGTTTACGGCAGCTGTTGAAACCAGTTCACCTCAGTAGTGCGTTGCGAAAAAAACAATGGAAAAAAATATTGAACAAAGAGTTTGCATCAAATTTTGTTTTTCGAACGAAATTTCGTGTGCAGAATCGTTGCGAATGCTACAAAAGGCTTATGGGGAATCAGTTTTATCGAAAACTCAAGTTTATGAGTGGTACAAAGCCTTTCAGGACTGTCGTACGACCGTCGAAGACATGCCGCGTTCTGGACGACCTTCGACCTCTACCACCGACGAAAACATTGAAAAGGCAAAGGAAATCGTGTTCAAAAATCCTCATGTGAGTGTTAGAGAGATAGCACGAGAGCTAGGCATCGGTCGTGAGATGGCTCGTTTGATTTTGGTGGACAATTTGTGTATGCGACGTGTCAACGCCCGGCTTGTTCCGATTCACCTCAATTTGTTCAACATTATCAACGATTTTAAGGCCAAACATTCAATAAATACCATCGAACAGCCACCGTATTCACCTGATCTTGCACCGTGTGACTTTTTCCTGTTTCCCAACCTCAAATTACCACTCAGAGGAACGCGTTTTGAATCCATAGAAGACGTAAAACAGAATTCGCAGAGGGAACTCAAAGCCATACCGGAAAGCGCCTATAAAAAATGTTTTTATGATTGGAAGAAACGTTGGCATTTGTGTATCGCTTCTAATGGAGCATATTTTGAAGGAGATAAATAAATATTGATGAAGATTAAGAATTTTGCGTTTTATTTATTTATTTCCGGAAACTTTTCGGTCACAATGTATAGGACTTTTCTGTATGTTTATATTCTTACAAAGTATAAAATTTTGGCAGTTTTATTAGTAAAGAATTTTTATTACCGATACTTTAATTGGTTATAGATGAACTTACTGTATCGCTTAAGAATTATGAGAACGAAGTAGGAACCAGCAGAAAAAGAGGACGTTCAAGAAAGCGATGAAAAGGCAGTGTGCAGCAGGACTTAAAAGAAATGAACATAAGAAATTGGAAAACAAAAGCAAAAAACAGAGAAGAATTGAAGACTGTTGGTAAACAGGCTTAGGTCCTACATGGACTGTTTAGTCATGGCTGATAATGATGATGAGATGAACTTACTGCAAATATCTATTTGTAGGAAGTTCTGTTTAAATCTTTTTTGATTTTTTGCTGTAAAACAGCAACTTATTAGTTAAGTTTAAAATAGCAAATATTAATAAGTGGCAACGTCTTACTACTAAGCGGAAAAGTATTAATTAGATATAAGGGTGTATAAGCTCTCAGCAGCATATACTATTAACGTAGAATCTGTTGTGTTAATTTCTGTTAATGTGTCGAAGTTCGTTAAATAATTCTTTCTTTTAATTTTCACGTCGTTGCTGCTCTACTATATCGTGAAGGTGCAATTTTAATATGTAATGATGAAGGTTCCATGCAATAATAATAATTAAAATAGATTTAAAAAAACTTCTCAAAGGTTCCATAGTTTTCTTAGTCTAATGATAACTTATAACAATTGATTTGTAACTCTTCTCCGTGTTTTTCTCTGAATATTAACATTTTTAGGCACAATAACGTTTGATATACATAAATAAATTGAAAATACTTACTATATATCTACTTTTCTAAATTCTATGAGTTGTGACCCTATTTTCGAAATATTTGAGCTCTCATTAAATATTTGTAACCCATTAATTTTCCTTCTCTAAGAGTTTCTAGAAGGGATATAAAACTAGTAAGATTTTTTTATTAAATTATTTTATTTTAAATTAACGTTTACTTCTATATATGTATATGTATTTATATATTAAATAATTTAAATATTTACATATCACACACTCAAAACCAGTGGTGTGTTTGTGATTGATTCTCTAAGTGCACAAGTATTACTCTAATAATTGCAAATATATACATATGTAAATAACGTACTGACTAGGAACATTGCTAAATTAAGAACTTCTATGTATAATGACTCGATGTTGTTTCATACTTTTGGAACAAAACTCCATCCATAAATAACCACAACTGCAAACGAAAAGTCGTACAAATGCATCAACAAAAAGTTTGCAAATGTACAAAAGATTCTTATAGAAGAGTCGATCCATGTTACATATATGCAACAACACTATTTAGATTAGCTTGCACATATGCATCGTATGTTAAACGTCAATATAATCGGTTTTTGCATATATGTATGACTAAATATGTATTTGCATTTCAAGCACTCCTGCTTAAGATTATTTTTTTTTGTAGTGATTTTTTTTTTTTTTTTTAGTTCTGGGGTATAAATAATTATATATAACAAATTTATACGAGAGTTTAGCATGAGGGGAACCTTGTTGAACCTTAGAAGATGTTGAGTTTAGACATTTTGCAATCATACATATGTTGATTTGCAAAAATATATAATTAATATGATTATAAGTGTACCCCGTTGGATCTACAATTCACAGTCGTTCATCTAGGATAAATATATACTGGCTATTATATCAGTTAGAGATTTAACTTTCAAAAGAATTTACAGATTTTCCCAAATACGGTGCAACGAAGCAAACTGCAATACTGTTTTAGCACAATAGTTCCTTCTAATAATAAATGGTACTTGGTCGTCTATACAGAACAGTATGTAGACCCGGACGATTCTGGAACCGTTATGTATTGCAGTTTGCTTCGCTCCACCGTTTTTGGGAAAATTTGTCAATTCTATTGAAAGTTAAATCTCCAACTGATATAATAACCAGTATATAGTTATCCTAGATGAACGACTGCGAATTGAAGATCCATTGGGGTGCACTTATAATCATATTAATTGCATAGTATGACTAAATTTACAAACAAGTTTTTAATTTTGTCTTTATTCTACTAATTTTTATCTATATACTTTTGAACCATTTATATATTTTAAATTTTACAATTTAATCAAAACATATTAATTATTGTTATAATTGAAATTCGGCGAGGTGAACGTGACCGGCACGCTTAGTAGTCTATATAGACTTGTAGCTCCAGGATATAGACACAGCCACTGCTGCTGGAATCTTGAACTTATTACTGAGTTTATACTGTTAAGCTTATTTTCTAAATATCAATATTTTTTACAACAATACAAAGTCTTCTTAAATCTCCAAAAAAAAAAAACAAAAAAAAACGAAGTTTTGGCTTTCTTTCAATATCTTATATTGATTTTTATCACCAATGTGCCAGGTGTACATTTTTTTTCTGAGTTAATATACACAATTGATTTTACAACTTTCTGTTTTTATTTTTTTCTTTTTGTGGTGCTTCAAGATCATGATGTCCTGAGACAACTACCTAGTACCGTTAACGCGGTACTAGCATGTGCAATATTCTTTGCTGATTTTTTTGTTTATTATTTAGTCTTATGCCAAATTTCAAATCGAAATATCCTGCGAACCAGCCAGCATGATATATAGACGGTAAACATTTTGACTAGAAGCATTTCAAAGGTGACGCCTTAATAAGCCATGTAGAGAAATTTCCATTAATATATATCTTTCTAAACTATGTCAATTTAAATATTTCCTACCAACTGTTGTCATATTTAGCAAAACATATGACATTTTTCTATGCATTCCCTTCATACCGAAAATTCCATTATTTGAAGATATTGTGTTGGTGCGATAAATTAAGAATTGTATACTTCGTATATTGGATTTTCTAAAACCAGCTGTTGATAATTATCGTACTAAATCGTACTAGTCGCTATAAAGAAAACAGATTTTATACAAAGTCAATCAATCAGTCATATTTACTCATTTAAAACAAATTTTCATTTTCAGATGTGACGCGGACTCCTCAGCACTTGCACGTTACGTTTTGGCTCTACTTAAGAAAGACAAGCCAGAGAGTGAACTCGTCGCTTTGATGATAGAGCAACTTGATGTCTTTTTGGGTGAAGAAACTACTACTTTTGTTGATAAACTATTTGTTGCCATAAACACAGAAGAATACCTGAAGCGTACTGCAGAAGCTACCATCAAATCTGAAGATATGTATTCCTTTACATCATCATCAGATCCGAGGCATAAAGCTGATGTTAAGCGTCTCGATGATAAAAAGTCTGATTTACCTTCTTGCAGTGATGCTTATAATTTAATTGATAGTGATTCGGTAAGTATTTTAATTATTTTTTATAATTAATAAAATAATGTTGAAAAGAAAAACTACTTAAAAGAATCATATAGATGTATCTCATCTATATTCTTGAAATTTTCAAAAACTATGAAGTGCACTTGCAATAAATTGGACGATGGAATTGTTTTTTTTTTTGTGTTGATGAAATTTCATTCACTTAGTGAATTGTAAAGAATAAAAGGTTTTCTTTTGAATTATATCTAGATAGAAGTGATTATTAACTATTAATCAGTTGACCACAGAAAAAATCCTTTTTTTTGTGGGTTTTATGTTAAGCATCCAAGTGTTTCTAAACAAAATGTCCTTTTATAGATTTAGTTCACTAATATACATCAAAATTGGTCAGTTTACTGCCCATTTTTCGTACTCAAAAACGAATTAATTATTTTTTATAATTCTATCCGACTGCAATCACCATAAAAAGGGCCATTTATCTAAAATAATTTCACATGAAATATATCACTGCAAAGAGCACAAAAGTGCAATGCGCTTCACCCACATTTTCTTATCTTATAATAATTAATTTATAGCTGCTAAGATTTTTGCATTTATATAATGTTCATTTAATTTAATAAAATAAATTTATAAATAAATAATGTTTGATATATATAATATATAAAAATTCCATATTCCATTTAGGTAACGAAAAATTATATTAATTTAAATTATATAAAAAGAAAAATTGTTATTAATATGTGTTTTATTTCTTTATTATATATAACTTTTTTCTTGTATTACAGGTCAAAACCAAAGATAGTCCTAATGGCGGACCTAAATCAAATGATGCCAGGGATATTAAAATTGAACCAGCAGCAACTAGCTCATCTGCATCCGTCGCTGTAAGCTCACCTGCCAAAGTTGTTACCGATAAGGAGAATCTACCACGTGAAGGTCGTCGTAGGCGACTATCATGTCGTTCACGCTCTAATTCGCGTTCACGTTCTCGTACCCGTACGCGTTCTCCACGCAGTCGTTCACGTTCTCGTTCTGTAGAGCGTCCACGTCGTTCACGTTCTCGTGAAAGACGCGCTAGTGAACGTGAGAAACCAAGGCAGGTTCGGAAATCACCACCACCACCAACAACAGATTCTCGTTATAGCAGCTCTCACGATCGTCGTCGCGGTGATCAACGTAGACGTGGTACAGATGATAGATCACCACGCTTTAGTGGTGCTACTAGTGTTGAAAGCAGTCGCAAACCCCGAGTTGCTCGTACGGTTTCTCGAAGTAAATCCAATTCATCCGAACGCGGCAGAAATAAAATTTCTCCATCACGCTCCTCGCGTAATACCCCCGAACGTCATCCACATCCTCATCCCCATCCACATCCACATCCAGAGCACGATAATGTTAAGCGTCAACGCTGTCGTGATTTTGATGAAAAGGGCTATTGCGTTCGTGGTGAAACTTGTCCCTGGGATCATGGTGTTAATCCAGTGGTCTTTGAAAACATAAATAATACCGCTTTAATCAGCATGTCGTTACGTGAATATAACCCAGATTCACCTGATTTATGGACACGTCCAAATCCAAATAATCCTTTGGTGGGTGGTACAGGTGCCATTATGGCTGGCGGTCCTGGTGATATGAATGCAGCTAACATAAACCCATTTACAGGCGTCCCCAGGCCTGGTGTAGTGATGGCTGGACCAGTTGTACCAAATGGTGTCGCACCTATTGGTGATTATCCACGCCCTGGTGTTAGCGGCACAGTAGGTTTTCGTGGTATTATGCCGTTTCCATTCAATCAATCTATGTCTGCACCATTACAGCGGGAATTGATTCCCATACCTGTTGTCGATGCCAATGTAGAATCGAATGCAAGCGAGGGAGGTAGCAATACGCATCACGGCAAACGTCGTCATGAAGGAGACGATAACAATACTGATGGACCTACACTACGTAAAATGCCTGTTAATGCACGTCTTGGACCACGTGTTCCACATATTCAAAGTAACTCTTCTCTTGAATTACGCAAAGTTCCACGTGGTCTCAACACCATAACCCACCTTAATAATCACTTTAGCAAGTTTGGTAAGATAGTCAATATACAGGTTTCTTATGATGGTGATCCAGAAGCAGCAATAGTTACATTTAATGCACATGCTGAAGCCAATGTGGCCTACCGCAGTACGGAGGCAGTGCTTAATAATCGCTTCATTAAAGTTTTTTGGCACAATCCGGATGCTAGTGCCCATAGCACAGCAACTGAATCAACTGATCAACGTCGTAAAAGTCAATATCACTTAAACAATGTTACAGCCGCATCTAAGCAAGCAGCTGATGCAAACAAGTCATCAGTCTCAGCTACTGTTACTAGTCAATCTTCAGCCAAAAGTAGTACCGCTGCTAATGCAGGTGAGCCGACAACTTCGGCTAATGCAACTACTGTTGCTATGACACCAATACGTGCAAAAAGCGCTATACCACGTACCATATCTCCAGCCATTGCTAGTGCATTGTTGCGTAAAAAACAAGAAGAACAACATAAGGCCGCTGTACAATTGGCAAACGGTTTGCGAAAACGTAAACAAGAATTAATGCAAAGCTATGTCAAGCAAATGAAGCAGGCACTCGATTTAGTTGAACGTTGCGAACCTAATGATCCTCAACGCCAGCGTACTCTTGATACAGTCAAGGTATTACAGGATTCTATTGATAAGTTACGTAAAGAGATTAGCGTTGATGCAGAACAGATGCAAGCTCAACTACTTAACCATAACCTCAATCACAACCATACCCACAATCATAATCATACCCTTAGCCATAGCCATAGCCACAGTCATCACAGCAACCACAGTCATAGCCACAACCAACAACAACAACAACAGGTAACTCCACAGACTACCGCTGCAATAATCAAAAAGACCAAAGAGCAACAAAAGAAAGAATTACTTGATATCGAATTGGAGTTATTTGCCCAACAGCAAGAGGGCAATGATACTACAGCCATACAGAAACGTATTGAAGAGCTTCAACGTAGTTTGGGTATCTCCGCAAATGGTGTGGGCCCATCGGGCCATCCACATCCGAGCACAAGTGGCAAAGGTATGCATTATGCTAGCAATCGTCCAAATCGTGCACGATCCATGTACGCAGATGTTTCTACACGTGTTGATCGTCGTCCAAAGACAATCGTTATTACTGGATTTACTGCAGAAGAGGCTGATTTTGTACTTGGACACTTTAAGGTAAGATACAAAAATGTTTGAGTCTATAGAAAAGTCGAGAAATTGATGTTAATATGTGCTAAATATACATAAAGTATATTCTCAACTAATCAGTTTTTGTTTCCTAGCATTTTGGTGAAGTTCTGAAGCACGATATGGACAAGAAAATACCGCAATTGATTATTACGTATGCAACACGCATACATGCTGAATATGCTATTGTTCATGGCAAAGTATTTAAGGATAAACGTTTGCATGTAAGTGTTTTTATTATAAACAATATTAAATATTTAATAAATAATAAATAATAATGTTTTTTCATTCTCGATAATAGATTATCTGGGCACCAGTAGTTACTACTACCCCAGCAAAACCAACCGCCACTATAACTGCTCCTCCAGCTGTAACAAGTAGCTCAATTGAAAAAGAAACTTCACGTAGTAATGATATAGAAGTTATCACAGAGTCTTTGGCTTCAGATAAGAGTGAGAAGGCTTCTAGCGATAGCGAGGATAGGCCTTTAAGTACTTTACCTGAATTGCGGTTAGAAGATGAAGAAGAAGACGAAGATGCTGAAGATCGGTCTTGGCGCCGTTAATTATCAAAATTAAAATTTTTTTTTTTTTTAGAATATTCTTTACTTTTAATTTTTTTTTCAAATACTTTCAAAAGTCAGTACATAATACATAAAATGTAACCACAAAACAACTTAAATTTTAGTTAAGCATTTTGTTGTAATTTTAAATACTACAAATTGATTGTGTTGCACATAATAAAGACTATGTGCTTTTTACACATAATTAATTCTTTTTTTTATTAATATCTAATAAACGCAATTAACTAACTCCTTTTAATACTGACTCAGATCTATTAGGCAAGTTAAACTGTAATTATATCAAAACAATTAAAATTGTATGTGAAAACAAATGTGTATACATAAAAATGTAGTAATATCTAGACTAAAATTTCAAGACTATTAAATATAATTACAAAAATAAATGTATAAAATATGAATGTATATTTTATTAAAATTGATAAGCAAGTGGAATCTTTCATTGCTTATGAAATTATGAAATAATTTAAAATTGAAATTTCAAATGTACCCAAATGTATAATTACATATTTCGACCCTCTTGTACTATAATATTCTAAATATAGTGTAATATATATATGCATATGTATATGTATATATATATATAGCTTATGTGTAATAAGTTGGTAAAATTTTACGTGTTTTGAAATTCTATTTAATATAGTTGTTTTAATTTTTATTATTACGTGTATAAATATTTTATATAATTATTTTAATATTTTTATGATAATTTCATAAAGCTAAGCGTTAAACATGAATATAAAAAAGAAAAAAGAGAAGAGAAAATAAAAGAAAAGAAAAGAAGAAAATATAACGACTTAAGTAAATGCATTATGCAAGAAAATGGAAAAGAAAAAATACTACTAATGCAACACACAAAAAGAAAAATATACAAAATAAATTCAGAAATGAATTTAATGATGCAAAGTTAATAAACGTATTACGTATATTATTAATTTCATTACTTAAATCTTGTGTTTTAATATAAATATGAATAGTTGGGGGGATAGTTGTAGTTATGGTTTCACAGTGAATGTGTTCGCATTTTGTAGACCGTGCGAATCTGATTGTGTAGTCCCAGATGGTCGGGAGTGGTGAGCAGCACATGGTCGGTCGTCAAATTTACTAGTGGCTCCTGGAGGTAGACCCAGCCGTGCTTGATATCTTCCTATCGTAGTCTGCTACTGATAATTGCCGTCTAATTCTAAATACAGTCAGACGTTTTAGAAACAATTTTTCACAGATTATATACTGATGAAGGATGTAGACTGAGTGAAAAGTACCATACATTATTTTCTTTGATGGAACATAAATTATATTCATATGTGCATATATCTTCTTATGATCAAAATTTTGATTTTTAATAATTTTCTTTATTATTGCCTTCAAAGTACTCTCCTCCCGCGGCAATACATGCATGCCAGCGCTTGATCCAATTTTCCATACAAGTTTTATAGGCCGCCGAAGGTATGGCATTTAGTTCACGCAGCGTATTCTCTTTTATGGCCTCTATGGTCTAAAAACGCGTTCCTCGCAATGGCAATTTGAGTCGTACTCTGGAGAGTACGGTGTTTGGTTGATGATATTGGTTGAGTTTTTGGCCAAAAACTGCGACACAACCAACGTTGTGTGTGCCGGTCGTAGTGTAAAATCCATGAGTTTTCCTTCCATAAATCTAGCCGCTTTTTGCAAATGGCCTAACGCAAACGACGCATAACGGCCAAATAATACTCCTTATTGAACCTCCGGAAGGAATGCATAGTGCACCACACCATGCATAGTGCATCGGCTCACCTTCGTGATCCATCCACCATTCATAGATCCATGTCTCATCACCAGTTATAATGCGTTCGATGAATGTGAGGTCACTATCTGCGTTGGAAATCATTCCTTTGGCCACATCACAACGACGCTTTTTTGAATGAAATTCAACTTTTTTGCTACCAACCGAGAAGCGATGCGTTTCAAACTCAAAACATCAGTTAAAATGTGTTCGGTCGATCCATTTGAGATGCCCAACAACACTGTAATCTCTTTAATCGGTTCACAACGATTTTCCAACACGATCTGCTTCGTTGATTCAATGTTTTCTTTAGTAACAGATGTTGTTGGGCGACGAGGGATCTCATCATGGTCCAAGCTTGTACGACCGTCTTTGAACGTTTTAAACCATTCGTATACTCGTGGGTGCGACATACACAAATCACCAAATGCGTTAAACTTTGACAGAATGTGTATCAGTGACGACTGTTCTAAGGTGCGGAGATGTGCGGCGCAGACCCTAACATAATTTGCAAATAGTCAAATAATATATATAAATTTATTAAATATCTTTACATCAAGAATTAATCTTGTTTATTACATTTTCATACATATATTTTTAAAGATTAAAGTTTTAGCAAAAACAATTAAATATAATTCTCTTTAAAAACTCATTTAATTTCCTTCTCATAGCTACTGAAGTCGTTAATTGTGCTCATAAATTTGCAGTTTACATCACCATACATTTTTTTCAAATTTCGTCTCTCCCCTTTTAGCTGTTACTCCAGCGAATAATAAACGCTTTGTGTGCGGAGTAGCTGGCCGCACATTTATACGTTGCAAGTGTGTTCGATTGTGTTTGATCACTGCATAAACATGTATGGTTCTACGTACAAATTGTTTTGTTTGATGATATAAGTTATATGTGAAAAGTTGTATTTATTCCATATTGATATAATATTAAACTTACATATAAGTTATTAATTTAATTTGTTTAATATGTTATTTTGTTAATGAATTGTTAATATTATATTCTAAATATATTGTTGCCTAATGTAATAGTTATTATTAATAAAACATATCTCATATATTTCAGTTTATCATTTTTAATTTAAGTATATATGTACAAAAAAAAATTTTAGAACGGCCGCACACCCTTCCAGATAGGGTACGTGTCGTTACTAATGTGTATAATAGTGTTGCCAGCGTGAAAATATAAAAATTTATGTTATATTTCAAGTGTTCATATTATAACCGAAATTCGTTGAAAAAACCCAACTGTCTATGCCACATGGAACTTCGAAAGATTCAAGTTTCAGCTCTATTGTATCTCCATACTTATATTTCTATCTGTATCATTAGTTATGTGCTTTTATACTTAATAGGTTAGACAAAAACTTTTTCAAAGCAAGTGATAACAAATTTCAAAAGCGAGCAAGTGACGTTCGGTTCTCCCCAGGTGTATAAAACATCAAAGACATACATAAGAGATCTTAAAATAGATCCGGTCAAAAAAAACATAAGGGACAGAGCTCTGAAGCTATATGCGAAAACCGACAGGCTGTCCTACTTAGCACTATCTAATCTCAGAGTAATTACTAACCGCACGGGGCGGTATGCAGATCTTAGATCAGTCACTGAATAATCACGAAGACTATGAGTAATATTCAAATTAGTCAGTGAGATGGGTGGGACTTTGCAGAAACTCCCCAGCTATCAAAGAGTAAAAGTGCTGGAAAATGCTCAACATAATATATAATATAATAACATATACAATAATATATATAATAATATAAGATTATAAACAATTGTAAATAGATTAGTAGAAAATCAAAAAACAAACAACAATAAAAGTGCAAATTAATATATGAATATTTTTTTTTTGGGTTTATTCAATTTAATCTCAACATTCTTTATACAAATCAAAACAATTGTTAATAAGCACAATATTCATAATCAATATTCATAATCAAGAATTTAATGAATGTTTTTCATTGTCCACAGACATTTCATTAAAAAAACTGAAAAAGGCAAAGCAAATTATCGCGAAAAATTAAGTTTGGCGTATATTCAATGCTACTTCTAAACAGTGCAGCTATCGATAATTTATCGTTTTAGTGACATTTCCATCCTCACAAGACATGCAAAAACGCTCAAAAGTTCAAATGTATAGTGAAATTAATGCTTTAATATAAAAGTTAAATGTTAAAAATCGTAAGATGTCTTCCGAAACTTTGTGTGAGAAATTATACTAAAAAAATAAAGGAAGAGATGAAGTACTTGAACGTTGCGGAAAAAAATGATGCAGCTAAAACGATTGCTGGGCTTCTGTCCAGAGGCAGCGCGAATCGCGTAATTTGTTTCACTTTATATACTTTATAATTTTTAAATACGTTTCTATTTGTAGCGTAATGGCTTGTCTGTTTATAATAAAATTTATGATTTCGAAACGACAGTAGCCGGTCGTAAATGTAAGATGGTTATGACTTCAGTTTCTGGTCACTTGTTGCATTTAGAGTTCTTGCAATCTTATCGTAACTGGCGGAATGTAGATCCACAATCTTTATTTGATGCGCCAGTACGTAAATCATGTGGTGAAGATTATTTGCCCATAAAGCGTACATTGGAACGTGAAATACGTAGTTGTCAAGGTCTTATTGTATGGACGGATTGCGATCGTGAAGGCGAAAATATTGGTGTAGAAATTGTTGATGTCTGCCGTGCCATAAAACCAAATATTACCGTTCATCGTGCGATATTTTCAGAAATTACAACCGCTGCTGTTAAACGTGCATTGCAACAGTTAAAAACTCCCGATTTAAAACAGAGTGATGCTGTAGACGTACGCACTGAATTGGATTTACGCACTGGTGCGGCTATTACGCGTTTTCAAACAATGCGCTTGCAGCGCCTTTTTCCGGAGAAAATCGCCGAGAAACTTATATCGTATGGTAGCTGTCAAATACCTACACTAGGTTTTGTAGTTGAACGCTACAAGGAAATAGAGGCATTTGTGTCTGAACCATTTTGGAAAATCAAGGGTAATGCAAGTATTTGTAAATAATTTGTAGTAGCACATATGAATGTTTCATATTTGGTTTATAGTAATACATACGATCGATGATTTAACTGTAGAGTTTGCTTGGGCTCGCAATCGTTTGTTTGATAAGCAAATTTGTGAAGATTATTTATTGCTTTGTCTTGCCGATCCACGAGCCGCAGTAGAAAATGTTACCGTAAAACCTAAAAGTAAGTGGCGACCAACACCAATGGATACAGTTGAAATGGAAAAGTTGGGTTCACGTAAATTAAAACTCTCTGCAAAAGAAACTATGACCATTGCCGAAAAATTATATACCAAAGGTATAATAAGTTATCCTCGCACGGAAACAAATATTTTTTCCAAAGAAATTGATTTACGGTAAATACATTATATAAAGCTTATTTGCGCTTAATAATATATTAACTATATTTTAAAAGTTCTTTGGTGGAGCAGCAAACATCACATGATAATTGGGGTTCATTTGCACAAAGAGTTATGGAATGGGGACCAAATCCACGAAATGGCAGTAAATCTGATCAAGCGCATCCACCGATACATCCAACTAAATTAGTTACAGGTTTGTATTATATAACTATAATTCAAGAACTTGGAAAGTAGGTAAAACTATTTCGAGTAAATGTATTTTGTTGTTGCCACTGTGCATTGTTATATGTAACTCGGTCACCGAGTTAGTGTTGCTGTAGTGACGGGAAGGTAAGAAACATGAATGGATTATAAGAAGAATAAATCGAGTAAGATGTCGTGTTGGCAAGTTGTGGAAAGTCTTACAAGCTGAAAACGTACTCTTAAAAAATATTAAATAAAAACAAGAAAACAAAAGTATAAATAGAATCGATAGCACAAGATATAGGGATAGCGATAATTTTTTAAGATGATTTGAAGATTGAAAATTAATTTTTTAATAGATTTACAAGGCAATGAAGCCCGAGTCTATGAATTGATTTGTCGACATTTTTTGGCTTGCGTTAGTAAAGACGCTACTGGTTCAGAGACCATAGTAAACATTGATATTGCTGGAGAAAAATTTACAGCAACCGGCTTATGTATTTATGAACGCAATTACTTGGATGTGTACATATATGATAAATGGAATGCTAAACAAATACATAAATACGAACAAGGTAAGTCATAATTTATTTATAGGTTCTAGGCGTTTATCTAGTTGTAATTTTAATATTTTTTTTATTAAAGGTCAAGTTTTCGAACCAACTGACATATCACTACATGAAGGTGCTACAACTGCACCACCATTATTGACAGAGGCTGATTTAATTTCACTTATGGAAAAACACGGAATCGGTACAGATGCAACACATGCTGAACACATTAATACCATTAAAGAAAGAGGTTCGTATAATTGGAAATATATTCTAAGATTTACAATAATATTCTTTTTTTATATCGAGAAAATATTTTTTGTTTTTAGTTTATAACTTTTTGTTATAATTTAAGCAAAGAATCTAGAGTACTCTAGAGTATAGTACTCTAAAGTACTCTAGATTATTTGATTTAAGTATGGAAAGTGCATATATTCAACGTAACAAAATTTTTTTAATGGCAGGCTACATTGGGGTTATTGATAAGGGATTCTTAGTGCCTGGTGTGATTGGCATGGGTCTGTATGAAGGATACGATGCTATGGACTTAGCATTAGCAAAACCGTTTTTGCGTGCAGAATTTGAGAGCGATTTAAAAAAGATATGTTCCGGTGAAAAAGATCCAAAAGTAGTACTGGTAGAACAAATACGTAAATATAAAGAGGCCTATAAACAGATAATGGATAAAGTTCAAGCGATGGATGAGAAAATAGCTTTGCGGTAAACCTTATTAAACTTTATTAAAATTATATGTAAAATAATTAAAATTGACTTCATTTTCAGCGTAAATGAGACACCTTCCACAAATAATGCGAATACTCCTGGTGATCCACAAGTTTATGTTGAGAACAATCCCAATCGCATACAGGAATTATTTCAGTGTCCAAAATGCAATGTAGCGCCATTAGCACTTAAAGCTAAGAAAAATAATAGTGGACACTTTATTGGTTGTCTAAACTTTCCTGATTGTAAAAATGTTGTCTGGTTACCAGATGAATGCAAAGAGCCATCTGTGCATTCACAAACATGCGAACGCTGTGGTTCAAATGTTAAATTGTTGAAATTCAAATTTTCTAATGTCTACTACAAAACATTATTTGGCGCGCCAAATGGTTGGTATAAGACCTGTCTACGTTGTGACGAACAATTTCGTAGTACTTTTAACATTAATTTGGAAAATATAAAAAATATTGGTGCTATTGTCAGTGATACATCTACAAGTGTCACCAATATTACTTCGGTTCCTGAAAGAAGTAATAATTCTACTTCTGCTGCTGGCAGTTCAGGTATAAATACCGGAAATTCTTTATTTATTACAAGATCTACTTCTGACACGAGTGGAACGAAACAATCTAAATCTAAAAAGACAACTAGTACTGAAAATAAACCTCAACCGAAAAAGAGATCTTCAAATACCACAACAACAACCACGGCAAAGAAGAGAAAAGCTGATTCTAATATTCGTAGTTATTTTACACAAGGTAGTTATATATGTTGTAATAAACTTCACTTATATAGTTCAGACCATAGAATAATTCACAAACTATGCAGAAACGTTACAGTTTCATTAGAAAGCCATATGCTTAAAGATGCATTTGTTTCGAAGACATCTATTCAGCATTTTAGCGGCAGTGCCTTATAGCAGATAATGTTTAATTCTGTGATACAGAAGCTATATTCTTTAAAATATAACTTTCATATTCGAGAAAGTTTTTCCACAATCGAGCATAGCACCTATTTGGACAATTATTTCCACTCCTTAACATCTAAGTCGCATTCTATAGTTCTTCACCATTCTAAGGGTAGTATAGTACGTATATAGACAATTATTTCCATTCCATAACATCTTAATCGCATTCTAAGTTCTTCACCATGCTAAGAATAGCATAGTATCTATTTAGACTATTTAGTCGCAATCTATAGTTCTTCACCATGCTAGGGATTGTATTCCGGATTGTCTAAAGATTTTTTGCTTTCCACACAATGTTATCATTTAGTCTTTTAAAGCTGCGTTAAATTCAACTTTATTTTCTGACAATCTCTTATCTGCAATATAGAAAAACATGCGATGTAAAATTTCCTTTGAACTTCAACAAACTAAAAAGAACTCATTACTCTACACTCTCAATTATAATAGAACAAATATTTTTCTTTTTATATAATATTATTGCTGCTATTGCTATTCTTAATGACAGCATCTACCACTACAAGAAGTACTGAAAATGAAGCCATAGCAGCAGCAGAATTGAATGATATACCACTGGATGAATTTTTCGATAGTAACGATGGTTTTGAAGATATTATGCTTGAAGCAGAAACTTCCGTTAATAATGAAACAAATAGAGGAGATGCAAGGTCAACAACAACAACTGCAGCAATTGTCTCGAATCGCAACTCCAATGACAATATGCGTTCCGCAAATGCAACGTCTAACAGTGATGCCTATGACAATACCTACTTATCTTCAATGTTTAATGATGATAGTGCAGATTTTACTTGGGGTACAGGAGAATACAACAAAAGTAATCAAAATCCTGCTCGCACAACAACAGTTTCCATCATAGATCAAAACTTAGATGATAGTTTTGATGCTATACTTCGTGGTGAAAATCCTCCTGATGATATCTTTCCATGGGGAACTGCAGAGCGTAGAAAACTTAACAAAGGAAACGGAACAAAAGGAACAAAACCTCAACAAACAGTAACTTATTATGATTATGATGAACATGATGATGACGATTATAATTTGTATAACGGTTCAACAAGGGCGCGGCTGACAGAAGTTATAAAATGCACTGGTTGCCACCAAGAAGCTAAATTGTAAGTATAATTGAAAGCATTTGTATATAAAGCAAACTAAACGTCTTTTGCTTTTTTAAATAGATTAACAGTGAAGAAAAATTCTCCAAACCAAGGTAGAGAATTTTATGTCTGTCCAAAAAGTAATGCGTGCAAATTTTTTCAATGGGTGGATGAAGCAAGTGCCAATGAGCCTGAAAATAATGCAGTACCCTACAGAGATCGTGCGTTCTCATCCCAAAGAACAACAAATACCTGGGGATCTCAAGGTAGTCCTGGAGGAGATTGGGGTTCTGAAGACAGACCCAAAGGTGGTTGGGGTTCTGGGGATAAATCTAGACGTACTTTGGGATCTGAAGACAGATTCGGTAGTAGTTGGGCAGTCGAAGATGAACCTAGTGGTACTTGGGGGTCTAAAGATAAATCCAGGGGTACTTGGGGATCTGAAGATAGATCTAGCAATAGTCGAGGATCTCAAGATAATTCTAGCAGTATTTGGGGAACTCGAGATCGACAAAAAGATGGATGGGAGGAAAAAAATTTTGGAAACATTTCGCTTCAGAGAAGAAGTAGTAATTGGGAAACACAAGATCAGACATCCGTTTCAAATTCTAGTGATTTTAAAAACAGAGGAAAAAGTAAATGGTATTCAGACGAACCAACAACTTCTGCTAATGCTAACATTATGCGGAATGCGTGGAAGAAGTCTACAGAAACTGAAACAAGTGTTAATTGTAATTGTGGCAAACCAGCTAGCAGGTAAGTTGTATTCGCGTAAACCTGCAATGTAACTTTAAAAAATTGTATTATTTTTTATAAGCCTCATTGTACGAAAAGAAGGTATGAATAAGGGACGTCCATTTCATGGTTGTGTAGCACGTACGTGTGGCTTTTTTAAATGGGCTGATGAAGCACCAACCAGTAATTACATTCAGTTTTTTTCGTTACTATTGTTATTTAATAAGTTTCGCTTTAGATTCTGGTTCAGTTAGTGCTACGGTTGTTAATTCAAATGATCAAAACACACAAAACAAAAAAGATAGTTTGTATTTTCATAGCATTTTTTTTGCAATTTAATATTTTTGTATATTTTTGTATAGATAATCAACCGTCCAACAAGGGACGTAAGTGTGGACTATGTCGTCAGCAAGGACACACAAAACTAAAATGTCCAAGAAAAGCTGAATTTGAATATTAAATATATTATATAGATTCATAATAGTTGTTGTTATAAGAAATACTAGAAATACTATGTATAAAGAAATACTCACGAAAATTTTTTAACAAATTCTTCGATAGATGTGTAATTAATCTTTATATATATGTATATACTTTAGAAAATCGTTTCTACGTGCATCAGCACAAAGTACTGTATTTTAATTTAGTTTTTATTATATGCTCTTGTAAATAGTTTTTAGCAATATGAATTATTTTTAAGTATATAATATGGTTGGTTGTTAATAGTTTAAGAACTATTATATCATTCACTGTATTTGCTGTATATATTACTGTATTGAAATACACGAATTTTAAATATATATTTTGCAATTAGAACCTTACATTTTATTCGTACGTGAATCTGCAGTCTAAAAAATGATCATTTTCGAAAACTGTCATTTAATTATAAATTCTTTTTTGCAGTTAAATCTTCTTACTATGGAAGCGGGTACCCTTTATCTAAATTGATTCTTAACTTATTATATATAAAATATAAATATACATATAATACATCATCACTCTTGTGGATGATACTGCTGTAATTAACTGCTGCAGATATTCAAATCTGGCATTTAAAATCCTCTTATCACGCTTTAAACCTGTTAAAAATCAGCTTTTAAAATGGAGCTTTAGAAACAAACGAAAAGCCTTTACGTAACTATCTCTCTTTGAAAACTTTTAATAATAACAATAAACAAAACTGTTTTGGTAGGAGCATATATTCCCCCCCCAAATCAATTCCTTCAAATAATTAAGTCATATTAACAAATTGACTTGAAACAGTGTTTCTATATTATCTGAGGGTAATAATACTGCTTCTTGAAATCATGCTCAAAAGATGCACTGCTGTGATATTTGAAGAAGAGCGGATCTTCAAAACATTAGTCTAAACTATATGGCAATATATTGTTCCACAAATTCCACTCTCACCAAACAGCTTGTTGCTGTAAAAGTGGATTCAATAGTTTTCAAATTTGACAAAGCGTTGTAAGTTTTTTTTTCATACAAGTCCGTGGAGGTTAGTAGAAGCATTATAAACGAATAACAATCCCTAAAAATGCATGACACATTGTTTAGATTTCATTTTAGTAATCGCAAAGAAATGCCTTATCTAGTTATTGTATTGAATCAAGTCGACAAAGTACAAATTTCAGAAATACGAGTCAAGTAATTTGTTTGTCCTATTATATATACATATATTTTAATAATTTTTATATAAACAAATCTTTCAATCATTAATTGAATCTGTTGTCAATGCTGTATCATCTAAATCATCTTCCTTCATGTTAGGTTTATTGTTTTCTATTTGAGTACACCGTTCGAGTATGTCTTCAATATTTTCATTTCCTAAGAGTACCTTGGAATAAGATCTTAAAACGTCTGTGTTGCCGTGGGCCAAACATATGAAGCCGTACTGAAAAATTAAAAAAAGAAAAAATTCTTCAACTTATCTAAAAATTTCTTTTGGTTTGTGTTAAATATTTACCTTGATACATAGCGGATAAAGATAGGTGTTTGTTTGATCACCAGTTGGATTTGTAATCGTCAGGACTTTAGCCAAATTTCTCCAATCTCTTCGTAGTAAGCAGGTTCTCGCATGCTTAAGTTTTGAAGATTCTGCACCTGTTGAGATTAGTGCTTCTGTTTCACTGACACGATGTATACCTACAGCACAGGCATCATTTTCATCATTCCAAAACTCATTGTTAGATTCTTGCAATAATTTAAATGCACGTTCAAATTTTTGCTTAGGTATCTTTCTATCATCATATTTGGCACGTTTTTTAGATACTAATGGTGCTTTTACCTTCTTCTTTTTTCTGTCCTTGGCATTCATAATAAATTCGTTTACACTACAAAATTAAGAGTGGATTAAGCAAAATGACAGCATTTATCTTTTCTTTAAATTGTTAATTTTTTTTAGCTTGCAAATAATTTGAAATCTCGTTTTAAATGCTGATTTTTTCTGTGCAACACTGCAAATGTTTTAATATCGTAGATTTGCGTACGATATAAGAAGAATTGAGAATTAAATGTCAAAAACTTTTTAATAGAGATGTCAGGGTAAGTGATAATTTTTAAAATTGGAATTTGATATTCTTAAATATAATTTTACTTCATTCTTTTTATTCATTATGTAGAAGAAGATTTTCGAATTGTTGGGCCTATAGTGATATGAATTAAAATTCATAGAAAATTCATTTAAACACACTAAACAAGTAAAAGAAAAAAAAAGGCAAATTAATCTCAAATGTGTACTGTAAACGGTGTATATTAAACATACAGATTTACTAAATCTAGTTCCCTTACAGCACATTCATACTGTCTCATTTATATTACGTTTATATTGCGAGATTAAGAGAACGAGGTTAAATTAATTTGCATTTTTATCTATACCGTTTACATTATACATTGGAGATTAATTTTGATAAAAGTTTCAATAACAATGTCTTATAAAAACTAATTGGAAATAGTGGTTAAAGTAGTAAAAGCAATAAATAACCTGCACTCTCTTGAATTTCTCTATCCACATCGTGCACACGACTGCTATCAATTATGACATTTATGCGATCAAAATGAGGCCAGTCAGAAGGTGATTCACCTGACGTCCCCATTTTTTCTTTTTTGTTCCTAAATTTTTAAGAGAAAAAATTGTAGAACAATATTTTTGAATTAAACATAAAATAAATTCAACTTACTTAAATAGGTCAGTCAAATCATGCACTTTGATTTTCGTTTTGATCAAAGTACACATTGCGCCCTACCATTTCAGCTGCAATTTCAGGGTATACATGTGATTTGCGCAATTGGTTGTGCAACTATGGATCTTTAATATCTCATAACTGCATAACTGTTTCCTCCTCTTCTGCCGATCACCTTATCCAAATATTATAAAAGTTATTCACAAAATTTGTACTTACTCTGTTATAGTTTCGTCTTGTTGTATTCTGTAAATAAGACATTTAATTACAACTATGTACAAAAAAATGATAATATAAATTTAATAAATAGTTTTATAACAAAACAATTTTTAGTTATAATTATGTATAAAACTGTTATTAAACGAATTCAATAAGAATTTCACTAAAGTCGACATTTTCAAAATCTTAATGTTTGTTTTAAATAGATTTTGAAATATTTTTTCCAATTGTTTTAATATTGTAAAAAATCTAAGATATTATTCCTTTTTGGTTGAGCTGGTTTTGTTATTTGAAATTTTATTTTTAACTGAGCAATTAGGAGGTTGTGATCAGGTTGTGAATCACATCAGCTCCTGGATAAGTTTTGACCGGACATTCTTAGCACTCCTCCCAATCTAACTGGCGCTCATATTCGGGGCCATTATTTTGATTCTCAGTCATAATAGATATCATTTAGTTTAATCAACCCCTTCCCAGAGGGTTGGACTCTACACCTGCAGAAAAAGTATACGATAGTGTCTTAAAGCTGCCATGTGATTTTTTTGAGGAAATTAAAGACGAACAGATGGATTCAGAATTTGGACAAGGCCACGGAACAATCAGTTCAGTTTGGTCTGAGGTCGTAAAAAGATAATATTAGAGAGGTTGCCGTGACATAACTTTTAAATACTGAATTGAATTAGTTTTGATGCAAATAATAAGGTGATCCAATTAAATTTTTCTTTTTGTCGAAAAGGTAAGGGAAATTTAATTCAAGTGAAATTTGATTATCCTCGTTAGAGGTGGGAGAAATTTTATATCAGTTGATATTAATAAATTTTGGTTTTCGTCGTAAGATTATGGGAAATCTCTCATCAGCTGATTCAATTGAATTTTGATTTTTGTTGTAAGAGTAGGGGAAATCTTATATCAGCTGATTGAATGGAAATTTGATTTTCGCCTTAAGAGTTAAGTGAAATCTTATATCAGTTAATATAAATAAATGTTGGTTTTCATCGTAAGACTATGGGAAATCTTTTATTAGCTGATTCAATTGAATTTTGATTTTTGTTGGAAATCTTACATCAGCTGATTCAATTGAATTTTGATTATTGTCGTAAGAGTTGTGGAAAATCTTATATCAGCTGTTTCAATTGAAATTTGATTTTCGTCTTAAGAGTTGGGGGAAATTTTATATTAGCTGATTCAATTGAAGTGTTGTGTAAAGTATTTAATGATCGAATTGAACTGGTGTTGTTTGTGTTTTTATGCTGTTTTGGTTTGTGTCTACTTTACATATTCTACGTATGCCACATCTAAACAACTTAAGACTCGCTTTAATGGAATGATTAAATTTTTATACGATATTACAGAGATTATTATTATTTTCCAACACTGTTCATATGACGTTTCGTTGCCGTACGTACCTATAATTCGCAGTTTTCTACCACTCTAAACATGTTTGCATTGCTCAAAAGCAAAGTAGTTTTATAATTTGTTGTTTTAATTAATATTAAGCAGAGTAGAATTATAAAATTGATTTGAAGTAAAATATTTTAAATAAATAATAAGGTTAAAGTGAAATATACGTGCGCAAGTAACATTAGAAGAAAATAAGTAGACGTTTTTTTCTGTGTACACATAAAAAATAAAAACAAATATAAAAGAATAAATCCTTTGCAAATAATTAAGAGTAAAAAAAAAACGGCGGTCAGGAAAGATGTAGGTAATAAGATCTTTAAAATATTTGCAATAAAGTTATGACAGGTTTCAATTACCAGTTAAATAAACTAAAATGTATATTGTTTATGCAGAGTGAAAAAAGAATTTATAAACAAATACAACAAGTATCCATTAACTACAGCTGAATTTTTTCGCTTGATCTGCGGACTTAAAATTAATTTAATTATTACGAGAAAAAAAAACTCATTGTTTACAGTGAACAGTTTTGTTTATGGAAATATATAATTGAAGTGCCATTTCAGCGTTTTACGCGGAATTATGTATTAACTGTGATTGTGTTGTTGGTGCGATAGGTGATAGGCGATAGGAAAATCTAACTATATGTGCGAGTGGTTGTGTGGGCTTGTGTGTATATTCTAATGCTGCAGCTTGCGGTGTGTGTCTGTGCGTGTTTGCATTTCTTCATCAAACAAATGATGGACAAATCCATCAAAAGGCGAAAAAAGCTATCTTAGCATTTTTTCGGTAAATATTTAAACAATTTGGATTTATATATATTTGCCTCCACAATTGGGTTGTCCGTCCGCAGGTATACGTACGATATGTATACGAAACGATTTTTAGTCTTCCTTGCTTCCTTGGAAAAATGTGGAAAAAACTACATATGCAAGCTTTGACGAAATTCAAACGAAAGTTTCTTTTTCGGTTTATGTTTTTCAATTATATTAAAAATTACGATGTTAAAAATTGGACATCCAGCTGCTTTTTTACTTGTTAACAACAATATGTGTCTACTTATATTGCTATAAAATGATTCCGATCCGTTAAATTAAGATTGGCAGTAGATACGAGGAGTTCTAAATCTACATTAATTGTTAATTAAATTGTTAATTCGTATTGTTTTCACAAACAAAATACAATTGATCAGCAGCTGGTGTATAGAGACCACATCCAATAACACACAGAAACAACATCTAACATTGATATAGTCTTCAGAGCTTGTAGACCACCATTAAAAACTATGTGTCTGGTATTTGAGTTTTAAATGAATAACCCCTTTTTGTATTATTCTGTTGAGACTAGTTGAGTCAGTGCACTTGAGAGCATTTTTACTCTCTATTAACTGTGAGGTTTCTTTATAACCCCTCTCTATGTCTAGAATGGATAATTGTTTATCAGTTCATCAGACTAAGCAATAATTGACCTCAGATCTGCATACCTCCCCGAGTAGCCTGTAACCACTCTGAGATTCGATAACGATATCTTATATATCTGGAAACTTACTTGAAAGGTCGTCTTAGCCTGAGTTTCCATTTCAATAAGATGAAACTGGTTACCTACACTACACTACATTGTCAATCGACTGGATCGATTTGCCTAGTTTTCTTTAAAAAATGTTCCTTGTAGTTTGAGTAAGGGTCTTATGTAGAGGAAAATTGCATAAGTTACTCAAAAAAATCGAAAGTAAAAAATTTTTATGGGATCTTTAAGTTATAATTCTAATATTCTCTGAAGTCTCTGGATCAGTTTACATTACGGTTATTCACAAGTTCGAGTAACGCGCTTGGTAATCGAGTAAAAGTGCAACGCTAAATCGTGAGCACACTTCTTTGTGTCGATTTGTTAACGACAGCTGTTAGAATCAGCTGTTTTTTTTTTTTTTGATGAATTTATAAGTTATTGTGAAAACTTTTCTTTTAAATATTAAATACTTATATTTGTGACCAAAAATTATTATTATAATAATTTGTTACCGGGCTAATTGGTCAAATTTTAATATAAATAAAAAGACACTAATTTATTATTTATATTTAAAAATCGTTTATATTTTATATCCGATATTTCGACTATCTTCGATAGTCATCTTCAGGGAAAACTACACAAAATATAGGATGTTCACATTTTTATAGCGGATTATAAAGAAAAATCATACAATAAATACAATAATAATGATGACAACAAGAGAAAAAACAACAATAAAAATACAAAAGAAAAATTAAAATTATAAAAAAAAAAAAATTTTATAAAAAAAACAAAAAAAGCTTTACAAACATCCTGTGTCATTTGTTTATAATATTCCTATAAGCCTGAGCACAGTTGTCCGTATCCGTTTTATAATTGAGTCTTATATTATTGGGCACTTGAAGTATTGAGAGCATTTCTAGAAAGTACCTCTTATTATGGTTCCTTTCTTCATATAAAATTTTTGCCTTATCAAAATCAGGTTCATGTTTATGCTCCATACAATGCACAGCCAATGCTGTATTGGCTTCAGCACCACTTTTATTTTTTAAACTATGTTTATGTCCAGCCATCCTTGTCCTAAGCTTATTTTTAGTCGTACCTATATATATTTTGTTACATACATTGTACCCGTCACCTTTACAATTCAGCTGGTACACTACATTAGATTTGTCTTTATTATT